AATAAATATAAATTATTTGTTGGCCCTCGGAAAATTACAAAATGAACGAAATGAATATATATTTTAATGTTTTATTCTCAAAAATAAATTCTGTCATCTCTCAAAAAAAAAAAAAAAAAAATTAATTTGAAGCGAACGCAAACACCAAATTAACCTTTCCGCTCTTTGGTCAACTTGCAAACAAATTAAAACAACATTTGCAGCTGCTATTTTCTTTTTTCGTTCTTTTTTTCAAATAATTATTATTTCAGCTGTGGTTAAGTTAAGTTTTGTGTGCGCCGCCTCCATGATAGATTAAGGCAGCAAAGCACGTGCCTCTAAGCTCTAAATAATGGCAATCATAAATCACGGCAATTGGCCTTGTCAAAAGCCGAATATAATAGCTAATGCTAAAGCCACACGCAGCACTTGTCGTTCAGCCCGAGAAGCTTCATATTACCTTTAAAAAAGACGGTAGAAAAAAATTGGGAGCAATATTTTCTACTTGTTGTGGCCCACATCATAAAGTCCTTAGAAAAAATGTCACGAAGAAAATATATATTCGCTAAAAAATATAGTATATACATACAGCAGAAACTGATTTTATGATGTAACAGATAAAACACATATAGTTTTTGTTGTTTTTATTATATATCTATATATAGTAAGATGTATTTATTGTTTTTACTTTCACGAACTGAGCCAACAATCTCAATCAAATATGAAAAACATGAGAATTAATCTGCTTAAACATAATACATAATCCAGATATCTCTGCACAAAGAGAAAAGCCGAGATTAGAGTGAACTAAATTGAATGCATATGCATGTCCGAAAAACAGAATAGCTTTGAAGGATTATTGTCCAAGAGTTTTTCATACAGAAATAAATACTTTTTTACGAAGGAAGTCAAACTTAATGAATGGAAATAGAGATAAACTTTAATTTCATTTGTAGGAAAAGTGCGATTAAAATATTCCGAGTGTATCTATATATAATATTTAAATACACTTTGAAATGTTTTCTAGTCAAATTCATAAATACAATATAAACTTTTTCTCATTAGCCAAATTTGGTTTAGAAATAGAAATGAAAACAAAATTTGTGCTCAAACGTGGCTTATTCTGGAGCAACTTTCTTGCTCGCATTCGCATCCAGAACAATTTAAAGTCCTTCATAAGCTGATCAAATAGTTAACTGAATACTCACACACATTCGTGCAACACTTCGATGCAATTTTTGCAGTTGAATAAAATCAAACCAAAGCACGTAGACCCATTAAGCCACTCTCTCTCTCTCTCTCTCACTCAGTTGGCTCCATCCAGAGCCAACAAAGCCAACAGTTGTGCATAATTAAATGAAAAGAAAAATGCATATTTGTGGCTCGCTACTGCAGGCTGTGCATTAATTCGATTGTTTTCTTTTTGCTTCTTCTTGTATTTCTGTTTTTGTTTATGGGGCAATTAGCAAAGTTTTCTGGCTGGCTGCATGAGAAGCATAAAAAGTGTTGCCAGCCCAACTCTGCATGTGTGTGTGTGTGTGTGTGTGTAGGGTGTGCATGGACGGGTGTGTAAAGTGCATGCTGCTTGTGCCATGTAATTGAATATTAATCATACGCCAGTGACGACCATAACTCATACGACACGTTGGCCCCGGCAGGTAACGAGACTCGTTCAATGCCATAAAAAAGGGGAATTGCTGCTCAATACTTGTGTGGCTTTGTCTGTGTGTATGTGGGTGTGTGCAGTATTTATGTATGCAACAGCAAACGCTTAAAAAATATGCAACACCAACAACAACAACAACAACAACAATAAAGACAACTGCTCGTGTCACTGTAAGGCACGGAGCGAGAGCCATAAATAAATTTGCTCATATTTCAGCACATGAACAATAATTAAATTCGTTCATATATCGCGCACATGGGAGATGCTAACCATGCCCCTGCTCCCTGCCCCTTGCTCGCCTCCATTTAACTCCTTCAAATTCCTTTTTTCACGCTGTTGACATTCATAATGGAAATGAATGCTGATGCTGCAGCTGCAGCTGCCACGCCCACCAACACCACCCACGCACCCAATTAATTGTAGTTTTTATTTTCTTATTTCAAAAAAGCGTTTTGCAGTTAAGGCAAAAATTATTGCCACAGAGCCGCGAGCTGAGATTGTCAAGTTTATGGCATCAGCTCGAATATTTTTTATATTTACCATTTTACAGTATTGGAAATTAATTGAGGTTCCATTTGCTGTTGTGCACAAACAAATGCAACTATAAATAAATATAAATGTGGCAGATAAATTTAATGAGTGTGCGGCAAACTTCATTGAGAATCCGCTTTAACGAACTGCATTCAATTTATGTAGATAGATACTTACACACATACATACATACATACATAT